GGCGGGGGTCAAACCCCTACCCCGGCTTTGCCCCCGRGGGCCCCCGCCTGACAACCCTAGTGCAGAACCCCCCCCCTTTTTTTTTTTGGCAAAAAAACCATTGTCCGGAATCTCGGACAACTCCATTCTCACAATTTTCTGGAGACGTCTCCCCATCGGATAACTGGTATCCTAGCTTTATTTTTAAAATTCATACTCATAAGTAATTGAATTAATTCATTCATTTGACAAACATTTAGTCTTGTAATCATTTAATAAGCCACCAACATTGATTTATTGATTAAATAGTTTTTCGCCATACGGTATGTGCTGATTTTTTGTCAACGTGTTAATTGCACTGAACCATTTGCCAGATCACAGAATTGAGGATTTGGGGTAATTATCCTGGACAGATTTCCTCAAAAGCGCTTGTTGATTTGCTCAAGGTGAGCCTCATTCAAAAGAGTTCTTGGGTGAAATAACAAATTCAAAATTTTATGTTTACAATTTGTTTCAGATCATGTGCATTTGTATTTACTTCAAATCAACTTTTTGGTTTTGACTTTGGATTTGCCATGAAATAGCTGGGTATGGCCTAAAGCATGGTTACGCTGGACTCGTACCCGGACACAGTAGGACATCCGATTGCATCCGGACGTCTGTAATTAAATGGGGTGGGCAATCATAGAACTTGATAGAAGATTCACAAACAGGGGGAGACAACTCTTATAAATTACCAAATTTGCAATTGGGAGATAACTCAGGTAAGTTACCAAATTTGCAAATGGGAGATGATGTAGGTAGTTTGGCCAAGGTTGCAAATGGAAGATAACTCGGGTAAATTACCAAATTTGCAAATGAGAGGTTAACTTAAAAAATTAGTCAATACATGGACATTAGCCAAGCTACCTACATCATCTCCCATTTGCAGATTTGGTAACTTGCCTGAGTTATCTCGCAATTGCAAATTTGGTAATTTGCAAGAGTCGATTGTCGTCTTGCCATAAATATTCAATGGTTGTTGTATGGCGTAGTCAAATAGTTGAAAAGCAAAAACATAATTCTAATCTAAGACATTGAGGTCGTTGGTCGGTCGTGTTATCTCATTATCAAAACATAGAGATATGTGAAAACGTTGGTATATATAGCCACTTTAGTATAACTGGTTTCTGGATTGGAAAAACAAGATATTTTTTTTCTGGAAACACTACGTGTTAAATCTTTAGCGCTTTGCAGACGCTCGCAAGAGATCACTTTACCAAAGTAATGATGTGCTGCAACCTTCCACAAACGGATTGAAAAGTACGTCCATGTAATTGATCAAAACTTTGTAAACGACACAACCTTCTGTTACCTATGTTTTGTTCAAAACCGAAGTGCATGATTTGAGCAATTTGTATATTTTTTGTATTGGATAAGATAACACATGTAATCAACATACAACTCCTCCGTGTGACAAAATCATATTCATTGGTGCAGAAGGTTTGAACAAAAAAAAATTTAAAAAGAGAAAAAAACAAAGAGCACCGCAGAAAGACTCCAGATACGACAAATCTGCAATTAACTCGATGAAAATTACGTGAATAATAAATAAAACACAAAAAAACACACTTTGACCTACTGCCTCCGCTGCAATACTAAAACACCATTCGAGTCTGGTCTATGCTATCAGCCGAGGGTCTACATTTTCTTCCATGAGATATTTTAAATAAATTTCTGGTGTGAATAAGATAAATGACGTTTTGGGCCTAGTTGCACCACTCGCCACTCGCCAAGATTTTTATGCTACTGGACAAACTGCATGTCCCAATGCATTCAAAATGTTGGCGGATGGCAAGTGGTGCAACTAGGTCCCTTTATGCACATCTCTTTAGGTAAATTCCCGACACCTACATCGCCCCCCTTACCGGGAAAAAACTGTCCTCGTTCATTTTCTTATTTATGCTTGCAGGAGCGAAGGATCGCGCATCTGGAGACAGATTTCAAGCCATACATCATTGACGGCATCATTTATATGGCGAAGCTCTATTATGACCCATGATTATCTTTTTTCTTTTTTTTACTAGCCTGCTCCCCATATTTTATTGGGGGCTATAAGAGGAGGAAGAGAGGAAAAAAACTTTAAAAAAGTGAGAAAAAAAAAAAACAGACTCAAATTTCAGTAGTCAAGGGCTATGAAAAAGCTTTGTGGTGTAGCAAATAAATTCAGAGTTGTTGGTTTCTGGGTCCTCTGGTTGGCCCGTAGGGATCATAGATTTTGCGGGATCTCATGGTCAAATCCCAGGATCCGGAACAACTTTAAGCTGTCTGTTAGAAATCTGATTTTGCCGGAATATAGGAAGAAGAAAGCACGGACTCCCTTGATGGATCTGGCTCAGTCCTCCTTTTTGAAAGCCTGGGCCTCAGAATACAAGTGGGTTTCACTCAGTGAGAACAATCGGGTAATTTTTTCTCGTTACTTGTGGGACGAAAAGGACGACTGCGTTCTCCCGCAAGACACTTTTTGATGTACAGTCATGCTATAAGGGACGCTGGACCCGTTTTCCAGCAGGTGCAGCTCCCCACCAATAGAATGGATTAATTAAAAAAAAAAATAATAATAATAATAATAATAATAATAATAATAATAAAAAAAAAACCCTTTGTGGTGTGAGAGAGAAGCCCCTTTCCTAAATGGGAATACCCCCCATCACCCATTTATCAGCGGCTCCTTTCAATTTTCATCTTCACCCGAATAGAACTCCCAATCATCATAGCTGCACTTGAGGGCAACTTTCAGTCCAGCTATAGCAGTAAAGACCGGGTGCTCTATTCAGGTGAAGACGTTAGCGGGGAGCGGCACCTTCTTGAAACACCCTTTTGACATTTGCAAGCATCCACCACTCTCCGCACAAAAAATACTTTTTTTTCCCCATACAACAGCTCCTTTTTTTTTTCTTTTTTTTAATTTTAACAGCTCCCTTTTTCTCCATTCAACAATTCTTTTTTTTCCCATACAACAGTTCTTATGGGAGTTGCTCTGTCAAATTCAGCTGGGAATATCAAGGAAGAGCTGGCCTTTTTTTTTTTTTTTTTTTTTTTTTTAAGGAAGAGCTGGCCTACTGCTGCCACTTCCCAGATTCATTGTATCGACAGGACTGGGGGCTCCATCTATGTCCAGCATCTAGGGTTCTTTTCACCTGGTCCAGTCACATAGGAAGTTCACGACGCTTCGGATAAGCTAGTCTGAGGTTTGGCAGAGAGATCCCCACTTGGCCGGCTTAGGATTAAGGGCAGGCGTAGGGAGAAGGAGAAAGACCCCGGGGAGGCAGGGGGATCTGCCAGGCTAGGGGTTACTGGGGTTATTTGGGGGAGGTTGGAATAAAATAAAGCCTGTTTGCTGGAAAGGCACTCATAAATATTCCAGTGGCAATCGCTGCCACTGTTTTTCTGTACTAAGAACTGCCATCATCTAGTTAAATTTGATGTATTTTACTAGTTTTTTAATTGCACGAGATTAAAAATGACTTTTTCGGTTTTGAAGTTCATTTCCTGTGTTTCAAATGACGCCTGCTGAACGAACTTCTCTCTCTCTCTCTCTCTCTCTCTCTCTCTCTCTCTCTCTCTCTCTCTCTCTCTCTCTCTCTCTTTTTTCCCAGAGGGGGGGGAGAGGGGATAACTTCCAGCACGCTCTTCATACTAAAGGGTTGAAATGGCCCTGAAAAGCTAGGAAGATTTTCATGACCGGCCGGTCACCAGGGCATGACGCCCGGGGGGGTCTGACGCCCGGGATACCTGGGCATGGGAAAAAAAAAAAAAAAAAAAATGGAGGTGTTTTTTTTCTGCGCTCTCCGAGAGGATCGCAAATCCGGGCTCTTTTCTTTTTTTGAGAGTTGGCTGTCAAGGGGGGGGGGGGGGGGGATGGTATAAATGAATTTTAAGGCTAAAGGGGTTTAAAGGGGGGTGCCTTACTGTGATTTGCTTATTTGCTTTTTTATCTTCAGTTCGGTGAGGAATTCTGGGGCAAGGTCTCATTAGCAGTTGGATAGGAGTGTGGCCGATCCAGTGTGACACTGAGTGGCAGCAGGCTGACAGGTTCAATACGAATTTCTGGGCTGAGAAAACAGGAGAAAGGCAAAAGAAAAAAAAAGAAACAGAGACCTCCCACCGGAAATCACGGCAGAGTGCTTCCCAGCCATCAGATCGTTTGGATCTGATGGCGGTGGTTGCAACAACAGTGAACAAAGTAACTGCCACATTTTCTGGAATAAACTCGACTTCTGTTTGCAGTGATCCTGACACCCTCCATATACTCGGTGATTGAAGGAGGGCTCCACCCAAAAGACTGAAAATCTTCTATCCAGTGGGCCTATGGCCGACCCCACCCTCTTTTGGGGTTGGCCACACCCTCAACCGATTGAAAGATTCTGGCGGGAAGCTTTCTTTGCAAGGGCATGCCCAGTGTTAAGGAGAGGAGGGGAACAAAGATCTCCTTACTCTTTCGGGTAATACATGTGAAGTACTGACTGTGGGATCACGAGTACTGCATGGCAGGATTTGGGTCACTCAACTGCCCCACAAACTCGTTTCTATCCTATCCCGTTGCTAGTGGGACCTCGCCCCTGTTTTTTTTTTTTTTGATGCGACCGTCAGCCTAAAGTTGTTTTTAATAAACTTTTTATTGCAATTCTACACAACATTTTTTTTTTCAGATTTTTTTGGAGTTCTTTTTTTTTTTTTTTTTTTTTGCGCTGGGGCTGCTCGGGCCCATGCCCGGGGGTCATGCGCAGCCGGTCACTCGGTCGCCAAACCGGGCATGATGTCGGGGCCCGGGTGCCCGGAATGTCTCCCTAGCTGAAAAGCAAATTTCAATTTCATGACGTTGAAAGAATATGTCAAATTTAACTGAATGCCAGGGGTGTGGTCCCATTAGCAGTCGGATAGGAATGTGGCCGATCCAGTGTGACACTGAGTGACAGAGGCCTGACAGGTTCATTACCATCTTCTGGGGTGAGAAAACTGGAGAAAGGCAAAAAAAGAAAAAAGAAACAGAGACCTCCCACCTGAAATCACGGCAGAGTGCTTCCCGGCCATCAGATCACAAATGATCTGATGGTGGTGGTTGCAACAACAGTGCAGAAAGTAACTGCCACATTTTCTGGAATAAACT